ACTTACATCGAGGACGCGGGCTCCTGCCTCAAAATTTTATGCACTTCTGCAGTTTCACCACGAGATGGCGACACGGTGAAGGCTAACAAATTGCTATCGGGGTTCGCTGCTAGTAAATCCTTTTACATTTTATGTACAGTCTGTGTATTTTGAGCCTTTTAGCCTTTATTTTGTATTGAATACAGATTTGTTAATCACCAGATAAACATAGTTGAGTCAGATGTAGATTGCCATATATTACACCATAGAATTGCACCAATAATTCCAATACCGATTTCGCAACCCTTGCAAACCTTCACTTAACTCTAGTTGTATGGACAGGAATCCACAGGGAGTCAGTATCCCTCATGAAGAGTTAACGTGCATGGAAAACTCCGGTATTTATAGCGGAGTTCGAGACCCTTGGATCCTTCAAGACCAAACTGGACACAGATTCACACAAGATCATAGGTAAATTCAGCTCTGAGATGTGTTAAATGTGTTCTCTCCCTTGGCATGGCATCATCCTCACAGCTACTTGAATATTTAAACAGAAATCAGGTAATTGGGTGGGGAACTTGAAATTTTACATTTTCACTGATTTGATTTAATTTCGTGTCATTGTCGACTGCGCCTAGATTAATAGGAAAAATATCTAAATTATTTTCGTTACACTTCTTCCGAGCTAAATCACGTGAACCCTTTGCGCAAGGACACAGATTTAGCGTCTGGTGAGAAGTTATCCGGGTGTTTGCGACTTCTTGTGTGACAGGCACAGGTGGAGGTGTGTCGCATAATAAAATGACTGGCGTGCTAATACACCAATCAGATCGGCCTGCTTGGGAGCGCAGCCAATCAGCGGCCTCCGTCCACTCAGTGCTGGTTCTGTGGGGATGACTATGGGAGTTGGATCGCTTCATCTTTCAGTGCGGCTGGAGCGGTTCACGGCGAAGGTCGGCAGGGCGATCGGGGATCAAGTGAACACAGGATACTTCGCTTCGACCGCTACTTGACTTTCTCACGGCAAACATTGCATACCGTCTGCAATTCAAAGTAAGGTACGTTCTTGAACGATAGCCTACATACATTTGATTTAGTCGGCTAACTTCCTATCTCACAAACTGCAATTAAACAACTAGTCGATGTAACCACAGCCAACACATATACAATTAAGCTGTTATCGGTATTATTGGCAGAACATAGCTAACTCTTGTTTTGTGAAATGCCATACGTGGAGAATGTAATGGAAGAAAATGCTAATCTCTGTTTTTTCATATCATCAACATGTTGTGCTTAGCAGGCAGTCTAGTCTGTTCGCTAGCAAATAGGCTAATGTTGTTAGTGTTTTATTTATATAACCGTAGGATAATACCACATTTGTGGTTACCCATCAACATGAAACTCTTGTCCGTCTTGCCAGTAATACGGGCAAAAATATCCACTTATTCACGGGTATTAGCTCAGAGCACGACCACTGGTCTTGATGTCACCTGGATGGACTGATTCTGGACGTCCATGATTATATGACTGCATTCCAAAATATTTTTAAAATCGTCGGGCTGGGCAGCGCGTGCTTCAAGCAGATGCTCGTTAGCAAGTGTATTGCACGCTGCTGGCGCCTGCGGTCTCGCGAGCGGAATGTGTATGAGAGATGTGTATAAACGCGGTGAAAACGGGCCGAGAGACGCCAATGAAAGAGTTCCGAGCTCTTTACATGCCGATGTGTTTTACAGTCACTAAACTGAAATTAGCGTATGAAATCACTCGACATTGTGTCGTTGCATGGAAATGTAACCCCGCGCGCCCCGCTGTTTAATGTGGTATTGATTGCTGATGGCCCCCAAAGATACCCTACCGGTCTGAAGATGTAACTCTTTGATATGATAATGAGGGAGGGGTGTGTAGTGAGGGGGGGGCATTAACTTAAATGAAAAGTCATTTTCGGTTGCAAGGCAGCTGTCTGTGTTTATTGGTTTTCCTTTATTCGTCAGCTCCATCACGTCTCTTCCCTTTTTTTGTATGTGTTGTGAGGTTTGCGCTGCAGCCCTCGGGGAATTGAAGAGGCTTTGTGAATATTCGATGAAGCGGCGCTCCGTCTCCTGACGGCGCCTCGCGCTCCCGCACAGCCCGCCGCAGTTTTTAAAAATTATTTTATTTTATTTTTTTGACAGGATGGGAAACGGATTATCCGACCAGCGCTCGCTTTTCCCCAGCCTCCTGCCCTTCCAGTCCCTGCACATCGTCATCCTCGGGCTGGACTGCGCTGGCAAGACCACCGTGCTCTACCGGCTGCGCTTCAACGAGTTCGTGAACACCGTTCCCACCAAGGGCTTCAACACGGAGAAGATCAAGGTGGCGCTGGGCGGCTCGCGGACGGCCACCTTCCACTTCTGGGACGTGGGCGGGCAGGAGAAGCTGCGGCCGCTGTGGCGCTCCTACACCCGCTGCGCGGACGGGCTGGTGTTCGTGGTGGACTCTGTGGACGCGGAGAGGATGGAGGAGGCGCGGGCGGAGCTGCACAAGATCACGCGGCTCTCCGAGAACCACGGCGTGCCCGTGCTGGTGGTGGCCAACAAGCAGGACCTGCGCAACTCGCTGCCGCTGGCGGAGATTGAGGAGACGCTGGGACTGAGCGAGCTGGGGGCGGCCACGCCCTGGCACCTGCAGCCGGCGTGCGCCATCATCGGGGAGGGGCTGGACGAGGGCCTGCAGCGGCTGCACGACATGATCCTGAAGCGCAGGAAGGCCCTGCGGCAGCAGAGGCAGCGCAGGAAGAGATGAGCCTCCCGCGGGCGGAGAGAGAGAACGAGAGAGAGAGGGGGGGCTGTGTCACACACCACTGAGATAACCCCACACCCTGTGGAAGACTGAGCGGCCTTCTGTCCTGGCTTGAAACACACAGATTGCGATGCTGAGTTTTATCAGCAGGGCGGAGTCATATCGGACGCACGGGGAGCTGGAGATAGCCCGACTGTTCCCCCCTCGGACTGTAGGGGCAGCACTCTTGGCACAGCAATACAGGGGCGGGACTTTTTAAACGAAGACCGTAGCGCATGGATAACACGTGGTTGAACACGTTTACATGCAAAAGTGTCCCCTCAGAAAAGGGGTGTCCTGCAGTATGGATGTAGACCCCCATTTTTTGTGCTCTCCGGGGGAGTCTTTATTTTGGGTATTAATTCCGCTCTCAGAAGTGGAGGACTTGGTGTATCTGACAGTATGATGTACAGCTGTTAGAGGACTGGACAATGACAAAACTGAAGAATCGCCAAAGGCCCATGTGGAAACTATTTATATTTGACAGTGTTAATATTTTTGGTCCACATGAAATGGGGTGCATTACTCTTTCAGGACAGTGGTGATGAAGAAATGTCACCTTCATGTTGGTTTGAGTCAGTGCCAGTCTGTCTCAATCCAGCCATCTTGGAGTTCTGTGTCCTTTTTGCACAAAGGTGGGGGGAGTGGGGGGTGTTTGCTAAATTAGAATAAGCTAAGCTATTGTGGGAATTTAAAAGATTTTGAGATGTCAAAGAAATAACCAAAAATATTCAGTGGGGCAGAATGCACCACATAAAAGTAAATGTCATTCACGATGACATTGTTGTGTGCTGAAAGGTGACTGTGGTTTCCAGAAATTATAAGCATGCCCAATCCGGTCCCCATTGACCAACAGCGACGTCTTCATCTGATTGGGCCCTCTATTCATCCAGTTGGGTGCTTCCTTGTTCAACAGAGATGCTCATATGCACTTTAATTGTGCTGTTCTCTTTTTGAATTCATGTGGGCAGATTTTATATGGGGTTTATTATAAAAACACAGTGAAGTGTTGCTTCGGTTGAAGCGTTTTTTGTATGCTGTTACCTGATACAGGTGTCACCCTGTTGCTTATCGAGTGATTTTTTTGTCAGTCAGACAGATTGGTTACTCTTGAATAAAACAAATGCTATACACAATTATGTGAAAGTGTCCTGTCTCTTTTGGTCCTGTGTGTCCTCTTGTGAATGAAATGTATTTGCTTATCAGAGCAGCCTGGTATGCCTGAAACCCCTTTGATAAAATATTTTTAAGAACTCTCTCACCCACCCTATTCAGCATACTGAAGACTAAGTCCCCAAAAACTGGGAAGCTGAAGATTTTGGGGATGAAAAGAGCTTCTTTTTCTATAGTAATTTCCTTGAAAATCATTCATGTTTTACAGGCTGAAGAGTGGTCAGGTGCTTGTCCCATGTAGCTGAGGTGCTGAACAGGCGATGTTGTAAAGGAAAGGTTACACACACTCTCGGCTCCTCTAGATGTGTTTATGACAAGGGCAATGTTTCAGTTTGTATCAGATCGCCTTACCTCACCGCATGACCTGAGAAAGATGAAATGTGGATCCGAACATTATCCTTGTGAATAAATACATTAAGAGGAGCCAAGAGTGTGTAGACCTTTTTGTTTAACAATTTAAGAGATCAGCTTGTCAGTACATGCTTGTGTAAGTGCATCGCAGTGGCAGAAATCTCTCTGTAGCCAGTTCTGTTAAAAATGCAGGGCACTCGTCAGCTCGAGTTGTGAGATGTTTTTTTTGGGTGTTTTTATGCTACACATTATAAATTCCTTTGCTGCCTGTGCTTGGAGGAGCAGCTTTGATGTCCTTGCAGTAAAGAAGCGTTTGAAGTGTTTTCCGTCTGCTTTGTGAGAGCAGCCTCTTGCTCCGGTGCTCCTGTGTGTCAGGTGACGTGCCGCTGCGGAGCAGGTGTGCCCGCTCTCTCAGGTGTGTGCCGCGGAAGGGTGCCCTTTGCCCCTCGCTGGCCGCAGCTCTATCGCCCCCGGCCGAGTGGCGTGTTCCTGCTTCCTGCACACGCCCCAGTGTGAACACAAAGAATCCTGCAAATGAGGGCCGCGTTAAACATTATACTACATTGCTGTCACTTAGCAGACGCACTTATCCAGACTTACAATTTTACCCAGTTGTACAGCTGAATATTTACTGAAGCAACTGTGGGTTAAGTACCTTGCCCAAGGGTACAGCAGCAGCTCCCCAGCAGGGAATCGAACCAGCCACCTCTTGGTTATGAGCCCTATGCCTTACCACTACGCCACACTGCTGCTTAAACAAACATACCCCTCTGGCTCTGTGGTATTGGGGTCTGTCCTGTCAGTGCCACAGAGCTTCAGCACAGCCACGCACCTCCCTGTGAGCCAGGAATCAGCTGATCTACTGTCACCCACACAGTCTGATGCAAAAATGTCTTTCCATTGGCTATGCTATCAAAGCAACCTTCTCTATGGATGCACTGCTGTTCTAAAGAATCAGTGTTTTTGTTCATTTACTGAGTTATCAAAACAGTAAATGGAAAGTTTTTGGAATATTTAATGAGTGGATGCCTTTGGTAAATTGGGTCTCTTGCAGGATTCTCCTCAGCAGTCTAATGGAAACCGACATGCCCAGCAGTTGGCATTTGCTCCATGGTGTTCACATCCTACGCAGATCTAACACACTCACTGTCAGTTTTGTATTGGGGGGGTTGTATTTCCCATGTACTTTCACTCCTCATCTGAACCCCATTGTACAGATCTCCATTTAAAAATGGTGTGTGTGTGTGTGTTGGGGGTGGGGGCGGGGGGTGCCTACATTCGGAGGTGGGGATGTTGAATGTCAAGTTCTGATCCGAGACCTGCCTGCTTCAGAACAATTGGGAAACACGAAAAGAGAAGGGGTCGAAAGTCGGGACCAGCTGCCTGTAAATGCACCTTCGCTTCTCTGATATCTGTTGTTTACTGTGCTGAGTCATCACTGCCAGCAGACACAGAGTGATACCTGCATCATGTGACCTGGTGCATTTAGGTTAGGGATTCAGCAACCAGGAAAAAAACAAGAGGTGAACACTTGGCCAAAGTCCAGCTGTGTCAAATACAACCACACACATACACACCAGTAGGCCTACATATTCACTTTCTTCATAAGAGAAAGCTATGTTCAAGACATAAATGCATGTATTTTTTCTCATTTGTATTCACAAATTGCAAATGCTGCTAATCTCAAAGAGAATTCTTAATGGAAAGTTTTAAAATCTGTTTTTGTAGGCTGGGGCCATCCAGGATCCTGTTTCATACTAATAAGGGGAATTCTTTGAAGCCTGAAAAATGAGTGAAAACAACATGCGTGAATAACACTGTGATTTTCAACGCCCTGTCAAAACGGATAAGAATCTGAGGGGGAATTTAACATGCAGCGAGAAACAGGGGAGCTGATGGGAAGATGGGTCCAGAACCTAAAACACTCCACAACCTCCATCCAGAGCGAGTGTAAAACACTGCACAACCTCCATCCAGAGCGAGTGTAAAACACTGCACAACCACCAGCCAGAGCTAGCCTAAAACACTCCACAACCTCCATCCAGAGCGAGTGTAAAACACTGCACAACCTCCAGCCAGAGCGAGTGTAAAACACTGCACAACCTCCATCCAGAGCGAGTGTAAAACACTGCACAACCTCCATCCAGAGCGAGTGTAAAACACTGCACAACCTCCAGCCAGAGTGAGTGTAAAACACTGCACAACCTCCAGCCAGAGCTAGCCTAAAACACTAAACAACCTCCATCCAGAGTGAGTGTAAAACACTGCACAACCTCCAGCCAGAGCTAGCCTAAAACACTAAACAACCTTCAGCTAGAGCTATTCTTGAGCCAGAATTGGCCTAAAACACTCCACATTCCACTATCCCATGTGATAACACAATCCCGTGTTGTGGCCCTTCCCTGTGGTACAGTTAAGTAATTCTCCGGGGATTTGGTGGGGTCAGTGAGAGGTGTGAATATTTTGGAGGCCCCTTCCTCTCCTGTCCTGAGGTGCTGAGTCAGGACTGCACTCATGGCACAGTGACCCCTCAGTCAGCTGGGACACATTCACACATTCACACATTCACACACACACACAACACACACACACACACACTGCATGCAGTCATAAAAATGCTACACGGTCATAAAACTGTTATGCTCAGTAATAATGACAGTGGGTGAGATCATAAATGAGCGAGTGTGTGGGAAATCTGCACCTCTTCCCCTGGCCGTGTACAGCACACCTTCAGTGACTCACAGCGAACCCGATCCATCCCAGCATGCATCTGTGCCACCATGGCAAGTCTGAGTGAGGACCTGTTCCCTTTACATGGTACAGTTACATGGTACAGTTCAGTCTTTTTGGCGCTCCATGGGGGGAAACCTAGCTGGTTTCACTTCAGGTTATTAGCAGTGTCCTGGACGCACACACACACACACACACTCTCTATGTATATATACATATACATATATATATATATACATATCTATATATATATATATAGATATATATTTTTTTTATTGGACCAGTCTGGGGCTGCCGGAGACATCCTTGAAGGAAGCAGAAAGCAACAAACTGGAAGCAAATCCTCTTTAATCCTGTTGAAAAAAAACACGCAGGGGGTTGTTTGGGTTGGGCTGGGAGCAAATAAACCCACAGGTGCCCTAATCCCCCTAATACCACCTGTGTTTGCCTACAGAGAACACCTTCCAGCGATCAGCTGGAGCCGCGCTTGACAGCTGGCTCATCCCCTGAACGGCAGGCCGTTCCGCTGATCTCACAGCAGGAAATGAAGGTTGCAGCGCTAAACCTCTTTCTGTTTTAAAACAGGGTGTATTCCCCCCAGATCGCCCTCAGATCGCCCTCAGAGGGTCTCAGGGTCCTCTCTGAGGCGTGACCCGCGATTCAGTGAACCAGCAGGGCAGGGCGGGCGGGACCCGTCTGGGGAGGAAAGAACACTGAGATAAGTGGGGGGAGGGGGCACTTTCCTGAGAAGTGGGCTATCGGGGCCAGGAAATGACATCACAAACCTTCACATCTCTAGCTCGCAGGGCTAGCTAATATTTCTAGTGAGAAATTTTACCACTGTGATCACATAGCCAGCTTTGAATGGGGCAATGGCTATTGGATCATGTTCAATCAAGTTTTTGTTAAGAAATATTGTGAGAAAAAAGAACATTAAAATATGAAAATACCAGCTACCAGCTAAAAGTTTGCTTTCTTTGATGTTCTTTAATTTTTCACAATTGCAGGGCTACCTCATTCATAAGAGATTTGCCACATATGTGTAAGACTAAAAGACCCCAAAGCTTATGTATACCGCCATCATCAGTGAAACAGTGTTATTTTGTGGGAGAGTAGCTTGGAAAAGGGGGTATATCAAGAAAAGACATCCTAACATGAATTTTATTTTTAGGGTTAGGGTTAGGGTTCTATGATCCCATAATTAGACACCATGTGGCTCCATTTTTGTTTTTCCCCCCAAAATGGCATAAACATCCTAATTTCACCAAAGCAGTTACGATTTTGGCAAATGTGTAATGAAACAGGGTGTGATCTCACAGCCCACAGTTGTACGCTGATGCTGGAAGAGGGCCTAACAGACTGTGCAGTTTAACGCTCTCTCTGCAGTCTAATGTGGGGTGCATCCGAAATAAGGGAGGCTGGTAGTATACGGCCATCTGGTCCTCCCCCTGTCCTGCAAGCACTATTATGGATTTTAACAGAAATTATGCTATGGGCAGTAGTATGGTGTAGTGGTAAGGAACCAGAGTTGTAACCGAAAGGTTGCTGGTTCGATTCCCCACTGGGGCACTGCTGTTGTACGCATGGGCAACATACTTATCCCACAAGTGCCTGAGTAAATATCCAGCTATAAATGGATAGTTGCTCTGGATAAGAGCTTCTGCTAAATGACAATAAAGTAATAATGTAATATTAGTGGAAATTCATGTAGGTATGAGAGGGAACTGAAACATGGAACCTGCACAAAGAAAAAGGCTCTGCTTCTCCTAAAAAAAGATCCTGCTTTTCAGAGATGTAGTATGGGAGTGTCGCTCTGAGTGTGTACTCCCCAAAAACTAAACACTCTCTCTCTCTTTGTTCCTCTTATAAATTCACATTACACATCATGTGTTATTTCCACAACTTCACAATGTAGAATGTTGCCAAAACAATGCTCTCTGTCTTCTTCCTCTCTCCATGTCAACCAAACACCCTGGTAAACATAATTAAGAAACAGAAAAGCCATTTTTAGTTTTAGTCAACCAATTTAAAAAGGAAAACACTTGGAGCCATTGTAAGTGTGTGAAAGTAGTTAAGATAATGGCCATTTCGAGCCTGCGTGTTTATAAAAAGTTTTGAGGCGTTCAGAGTGGAGTGTTTACACTACAGAACGCTGGCTGGGTCTGTTTTTAGCAGTGTGGCGTTGGTCCACATGCGATCCACTGGTGTTTCGGCTTGAAATCGTGCAGCAAAACTGTTAGCTGGAACAAAGCCGGTTTCCTCTTCCCGAGGAAGGGAGGGGGCGGGGGGGACAGGGGGGGGGTGCACTGGCCCTTAATGATTCCCTCATATCATCAAAGTCACAGCCACACGAAAGCGGGTGTGAACTGGCACGTTAGCAACTCCTAAAAGCCTCTGTCATGGGGCGGGGGGCAGGCGGGGCGGGGGGGGAACACCCTTCAGGAAGCCACACTGCCCTACATCCCGCTCTGGCAGCTGTGGTGCCTTTTGGGATGAAGGTTACGTTTTATCTTATCTTAGATTTTTTTGGTGGGAATGTTTTACAGTAGTGTGTATGTGCACATGCTCACAGCTCGGAGCCCATCACTGAAGCTCTCTGCAGTCTCTGTGATGTGCTCTCTCTGGTGCCTCTCCTTCTAAAGTCTGCGCCCTCCAGAATTTCCTTCTAAAGTTTGTGCCCTCTGGAATTTCAAAGAGGAGTTTATATTTAATGTTGCGGCAGTAGGGGAGAGTATGGTGTGGTGGTTTGAGTCCTAAACTCATAACTCATAGGGTTATATGTTCAGATCCCAGATGGGGACACTGCTTCTGTACCCTTCAGCGAGGCTTTCTACAGTAAGCCCGGTGCAGATGTGTGTGAAATTACTGGCTTTATGGAACCACATAACCCTATAACCCTTACCTCACACCAACTGACCTAAGTGCTCATTTACTTTGAGTTCGCGCTATGTTGATTCTAATGCTGGGAACCATTGAGCAACTATAAAACCCCAGACCTTAATGTCTCAGTAAAGTACTTT